ATATTGAAAGACTGAAAGCATCACGCAGAATGAACTTACTTCTTAGCAATTTCCAAACCAAGACCGCAATTTACCTCAAATAGCACAAATATTTATATGTTTTAGTTAGTTAACTTAATCTCAATAAATATTGGTAGTATAACAAAACTGATGAACATGATCTATGACTTTTTTCAGTTGCAGAAAAAAATGTTATTGGCCCTTAATTTTCACATTCTACTCTCTCTTATAACTTTGCCCAACTATTCATAATTACCCAAATTTATGTGATGTATAATATGTTCTTCTATAGTACTTTGTCTGTACCCATAGGTTAGAGTATCAAAGCTTTTAGTGACTTCAGTGAAAGGTATTTTTGTATGTAATTATATTTGCCAATTTCCTGTATATCTATCTCATAAACCGGAATATTTCACATGTAAGGGAATACGTTGTTCATAATATTATCGCACGGCTGGATACAACAAATGAAGGTCTATAAATACAAGCAAAAATGTTGATGACTTTTAATTAAAATAATTAAGCTTCCCGGTTAAATACAGCAACGTTCTTATTTACGAAATTATAAAATAACAACTTCTCAACTTTTAAGTATATATTTATTAATATTTTATTTTTAAAATTAATACCCGGATTCTGAATGATACACTAACGAACGAATATATAAAAAAATTATCAAATCCACTTTTGCTGTACACGTTGCAGGTGATTCGCCAAACTCGATTTTGAGAAGTATTTAATCACGCTTTAAACAGGAAAATGTATATATGTGTTTACATTAGCACATTCTTACAGGGACATCTAACTATATAACTATGTTTAACAATATAACTTTGCAGTGACCGTGATCAGGGTTAGAATAGATTAAATTTATTATTTTATTTAATTACATTTGATATAATAAAAGATTTGTAGAGAAAATAAAGCAAAATTTACATAATTTTTTAGTCAACATGCAGAAAATGTATTATCGAATAACCTTTATTTGCAATAATTCCAACATGGATGTTTAAAAGCGAGACATTATTTGTCAAAAAATCTTTCCATATTGACCCTTCTTGAATGTTCTAAGTTATTAATTCAATTAAATAACCAATATATATTATTTATAGATATCAAATAAGTCAAAAAAAATCGATTCTTATTTGAGTATAACATTTATTTCAAGTAAGTAACTGATTTTTTAAAATACTTAACTCACTTATTGCGTTATTAATTTATGTAAAGATAAATTTAAATTTTTAGTCTATTCTAGGAATTTATATTATTTTCGCTTTAAGAGAAATCTCTGGATGCCGGAGAAAAAAAGACGGGAAGGCATTGATGTGTAAAATTGGATGTTCCACTACACTTATATTGAGACTAAGTCCTTTTCCTTATAATTCTTTTCTTATTGTAGACAATTTTCTTTTTAAAATGTGTAAGTGGATAAGCCAATTTTTAATTTATTCTATAGGTACTTTTTAATATACAATATATTTTTTGAATGATTAGATCATTTTGACTCATATCAACTTGTTTTCGATACATAGCTATTTCCCTATCATTATATTTTTTTTACAGGAGCAATAATTTTCAAATATGATGGAAAAATAATAACATAGACATAGCACATTGCAATAGTGTGAATATTTTTATATTTTCAAAACGCGTGGATAGTAAATATTTCCACAAAGCATTTCATTTATTAAGAACATCTTTCAAAATAAAATTATTTTAATTTCATACGTTAATATAAATGTATTGTACGGAATCTCAAATCCAAGAAACGCTACAAAGGATCGTAGTATATCCTTCGAAGATAACATTACCCATCTGAAAGTAGTTTTATTATCTATCTTAGGAAGTTTCCAACTAATTTTCCGGTCGAATGTGCTCCAACAGCGAACTTTAAAACTGATTTCATATGAAAAACTTTTTAGATACGTAGGTGAGCGATAATGTTCTGTTTCAAGCCTCGGGTGATACTTGTAGGATAAATTCTTTCTCTCATTCTCATTTCCAACTGCTCCCTTTAAGTTTGTTGAGTAATGTTCAGATCAACGAACTGTAAATTTTTTAATTAACAATATTTGTTCCGTTCTTTTGTTTTGTTTGAGCTATGTTGTACAGAATAAATATTATTTTTATAACAAATATTGTGGCTTCTAGAATTGAGGCAGGTATTTTATTCTAGTTTTACCACTTTTAAAGTAAATATATAAGTTCTTGTTCACATGTACTTTGAAAATTTGGGGAAGTGAGATATTTGTAAGGTGTGTTACAATAATATGTATGGTAATCAACTGGTAACTACTTTTATACTGTATCGCAATACATCACACACAATACAATTATTATTCCATGATAGAGTCATAAATATTAGGAAATTCGGGATAATTTGTAGTGAATGTATTATTTATTTGTGTACAAAAGCGCCAAATATCTTTACATCGTCATGATTGGCTGTATTGCTCTCATTATATACACATAATATTAATATAACCATAAGAGTAAATAAAAAACAAATAAGTAGAACTTTTAGTATAGTTTTTCAATAAAATACTTATCAATTCAGAGCGGATTCTAAAAGAAGATTGTTTATAAGTTGATAATACTTTTTTTTGTTAAAGCTTGATAAAAACATCAAATATAATTTCGCAAAATTATATATCCAATAGAAGTTAATTAATTATCTTTATATTATATCTTATAAGAATTAATTAATTATTTAATTACTCATATTAAGACATATTTGAAGCGACCCCTTTCCCTCCACACGCTTGAAGATATTAATATGCCACAATATTTTTAATATGCCACCTATAATGATTTCATGAGTTATACGAAAAGGTTATCCCTACTAATATTATAAATACGAAAGTAACTCTGTCTGTCTGTCTGTCTGTTACGCTTTCACGCCTAAACCACTGAACTGATTTTAATAAAATTTGGTACAGAGATAGAGTTGACCTTGAGATGGAACATAGGATAGTTTTTATTCCAGACTTTTGAAAGGTTCTCTTGGAAAGGCGACATAACTGAACTCCACGCGGGCGAAGCTGCGGGCGGAAAGCTAGTTAGAAATAAAACAAAGATGATAATGTCTAACATTTATATTTTCCAAATGTTACATGTCATGAATTATAAAATGAATGTTAAACAATCAGTCTTTTTGAAGATAATTTATTAATTCCACTACAATCATCTATGAATGAAATATCTATAAAAGATATGAATCCTAAAACTTCTATAACAAATTCTTATTATATAATATAATAGTTATTTTAAAATATTTTAATGTACAGTGTTATTTGTACAGTGCTCCGTAGTGGCTTAATTAATTAATTAATTTTATATATGTATGTAAGATTGCTAAAAACATTAAATTTTAAACGTATTTTCTTGATTGTCTGCTATGAAATTTTTCTTTGAGTTTTTTTTCTATTATTTTTTTAACTTTAAGTAAGAGTTCAGTTATTTAACTTTATTTACAAGTTTTATTATGCATTTTGAAAGTAAATATATAATTAATAAGTTTTAGAAGTAAAAGTTGTCTGAATATAATATTTTTACAAATTTAGTAGCAATGTGAACAATTCATTTCTGTTAACAATGGATAGTTGATTGTCGGATTTATAAAAGAAGAGTCTAAAATATATCCAAAAAAGGTCAATACAATAACTTAATATATTTTATATTTTTTATTATATAGAAACTTTAAAAATATTTCATAAAAACATGTTGAAAATTTAAAAATGTATGTAACCCAAAAATATTGTTAGAATGAACACATTATTTGGCGTAGTAGAATAAATGCTTATTTAAATCCAGGAATAAAAGAAAAAAAAAATGTCGAGTTTAGGATTATTTTGCCATTTCTTTGTCAACTGAGCATTATGTTCTGACTTAAAGAATTAAATGTTCAATATTTTTGACTGAAACTTTTTTCTTACAAAATGAATTAAATTCAATTTTTTAAGTTTACAAAAAAATATAAATAATTTTACTTAAATAATATTCCGTACAATATAATATATAAATTAATGAACACAGAATCACGATAAAGTTTATTATAATATTACTTAAATTTATTTAATGGCTACCTGTGATGTGGTACTCTGCAGGCTTCTGGAAAAAAATATAAAAACACATATTAAAAAATAACAAGTTTTTAATATTTAAAAGTAATTTTTAATATTTTTCGAATATTAATAATTCTCATGAAGTGTTTTACATATTGTCATCTTTTTTGTGTATCAAATTTGACCAGGAATGCTCATAATCCAAAATATTTAGTCAATCTGTTTATTTTATTCAATAGAATTTTGGTTCAAGTTATTTACAGGGAAATCATTGATATTTTTTATATCCATAAGTTTTGAAATAAAAAAATATCAAATACATATAAAAAAAATTAAGTTTGAGTCAAAGTTATGAATACTATGAACGTTAAATGAAGTTCTAAAAGTTATCATAAAGAGCTAGGAACATACAAAAATATGATTTATCAAAACAAATGAACTTTGTTTATTATATAAATATTAATGCTACATACTTCTTGGAACACTCTTCAATGTCGTTGTTCGTGATACACAATCACTTTCCTCTGATTCTGAACGCATTTGGAAACTTGTTTCTGTAAGATTAGTTATATAATGATATATATTTTCGTTGGTATTCATTTAAATAAAACTAATATTTCAGATTACTATGTACGCGTTATTTTATTATTTGTAATCAGTAAGCACACGGTTGCTGCAAAGTAATGGAAAGGTCGGGAGTATGTAGTTAAAAATAATAAAATTATTAGTTTCGTTTAGAAACTAATGTTTTCAGATTAATAATTTAATTCCTAGAATATTAGTCTAGGTTTGAATGATGCATGCTAACTATGAACTAAGTGAATTAATGAATATGAAGTCTATGAATGAAATATTGTTGGCGGAAATAAAGAAATTCATTATATTATTCATCTTTGAGATATGTAAGATTTTTCCGCTACATTATCATAAACCATTTCATTGGAAGAAATTCATTTCTTTCAATAAACAACAAATGCTTTTCTTAATAAAATAATTTTTATTTTACAAAATAACAAAAAGAAGTTCAATAAAAACATTCGATTTGTTTTATTGATGGGTATGTAAAATAACAGTACAAATAAAGTTGCATGAATGACATAAAAAATTAAACATAATAAAACTAACATCTTTCCCCATAGAATATCTTTATATTAATGTGAACTATATATATGTGTATATATATATATACATATATATGTATGTATGTTTGTATATACTTACCACTGTCATATCTCCCCGGTCGTGGCGCCGCGTTGTTCTCAACATGACCGAATGTACGGAACCCAAGAGCGAACTGAGCGTAGGGACTTATTTCGTATAATTCTGAGGGTAGATTGAAATACTATCTTAAGCAGTTCATTCTATCATATATAAAATTATATTTATTAAAAATAATTTTCAATTAAAACAAAAAATATTCAATTTATTTATTTTCATATCCACTAAGAACTTTATTTTACGTTATTATACTGATAGCAAAATCATTCACAAAAATTTTATTAGAAAAATTTCAATTATATACGAGGATTTAATAAAAACATCGTTTACGAATATTCATATAAGTAGCATTATGTACCAAAAATATTCGGTTTCGTAATAATTTTAAATTAATTTAGTTTTAAATACTAATATTAATTATTATTATATATATATTTACTTACCATGTTTATTATCAGCTGTTAAATGTACCGGAGTGCTATAAACTCTATTATTAACCTCACTCGGTATACTTTGAGGAGTATTCACAGTCACATTACTTCGCTCAGATTTGCATTCAACGGTCAATGAATTCCTGTATTCAGTTAGTCTTTGATGACTGAAAAATATTGTAGGAATAAATAATATAAAATTAATATTTTCCTATTGAATTTTTGTCTTATATATATAAAGAACGAATTATGTTTAAGTTATTAATAGATTTTATAAAAATTATTCGATAATTTTAACTGCTTATACGATTTAGGTAGTATTAAAAAAGGATTGATATTTTTTAAGTTCATAGTAAATCATTTATATTTTAGATTCCTTTATTATATATTATTATTATTTTAATAAAATATATCATCATCATCATCATCATCAGCCAAAAGACGTCCACTGCAGGACATAGGCCTGCCCCAAGGATCTCCACGAAAAATATATATTAAAACTAAATTACTTACTTGTGTCTCTTAACTATAATGTAGAGACACGCCACTAGACATACGAATAACATTATTGAACTGCATATTATAACTATCATGTTGAAGTCAATATAATCTGTTGGTGGGCCAATTGACTCTGGAAATAAAATAAATTACCTTAAACTAAAAACTAATAACTAACTAAACAATAATTATGTTTCTATAAACTTTCATTTCTTTGAACATAAAAGTATAAGTGCTAAATAAGCAAAAAATTTGAACTTAACAAAAAAGTATAATCTTGAAAGTATTGTTGTAAACACATTATTATCAATAGATATCATTATAACAAGAAATAGACTCGCTATCAACATAAAAAACATACAAATATCAAAATGACTTACATACATTCTTATCCATACACTATTTCACTCAAAACTGAATATTTCACATAAATTCTTTGAAAATTTCCATCAATCACACTTCACTCACACATCAATCCCACATCAATCGCACATCAATCCCATCAATACGTACCCCCCATTTCCGTAGTAGTAGCATACATATACACTCCGCTGGTTATCCCCGCGCTGTTTTCGGCAAGTACCCTCAGTTGATACCACCGGCCGGGCGTGAGGTCACTCACAGCGAATGTATTTGGAGTGGAGTAGTGACTCCATGGATGTAGTGGCTGGGATTAGAATTAAATATTAAAAGCTAGAAATTAATTAATGAAAAGAATATTATTTTTGTCCTTAAAAATCAAATACAGTAATACCCCGCCTAACGCGACCCCGTTGTGCGCGGTTTCACTATAACGCGATTTTCAAAAATTTATTCAAGTTGGGACATTGCAGAGTATAGACAATAATGATGACCGTGTCTTGAACGTGTGTCAAACGATTTAAAACAGAGTTGGGTGTTATGAACCTATTTTACAAGAACGTAAACAAAACGCTACCCAAAAGACAATACATGTATTTTTTCGTAAAAAATAGGAGTACCTATGTATTGTATAGGGTTCTTAGAATTAAAGTGATTGATTAAAATGATTTTTATATTTGTGTATTAAATTTTGACTGTGTTTAATCATAAACCTCGATATACGCAAATTTCAGTTAACGCGATATTCTTCGGAACGTATCCCTCGCGTAAAGCGGGGTATTACTGTATAATTAGTGAACAATATTTTAAACAAATTTTCAGATAGACAGGAAATGTATCCGGCATGGATTTTTTGGTGTTAATTCGAAGGTCACTTTTATTATTGACATAAAAATTTATGTATTTCTATAAGTATAAGAAACATGGTAAATATTTTGTTTTGTAGTAAATGGAAATGTAATGGCTTTGATTGGAATTAAAGAAAGTAATATAATACATATATCATATACGAGGAATTTTGCTATATGGCTATAATTTAGATCAATGTTAAAACATGTCTAGAATAATAATTTATGTATTTTTATATTAGTATGAGAAACATGGTATATATATTTTTGAAGTAAACAGAGAATCTCTTAAACTCTCATTATATACTGAAAATTATATTGTACGAATGAAATATAGCTTAATATGTAGATAGACATACATATTATTGTTTTCTACCGCAGTTATAGGAAAGTTTTAACTTATCCTAGGCAAATAGTCGTCTGTTTAGTGGGAATTTGAGAGACATAGGTTACTACAAGAAACAGAATCACACTAGAAGATACTAGCTGTATTTTTTCAGTAAATTTCAGTAAAAACCATACGTAGAATTTAAAACTCTTATTATTATTATGGTTAATTAAACAAGTTTTTATAATTACCAGTTTATTCTCCGCCCGTCTCCAAGCTTTCCCTCCATATTCCCGGTAATCAACTTCCCATTTGGTAATCTCACAGCCGTTGTCTTCCCACCCACTTAGTTGTATGTATATATGAGTCGCGTTACTCCAAAACCATTCTGTTGTCGTTGGCGATATTGGAACTATAGAAAAAATATTAACATAAATAAATAAAATTGTTTCAAACTTTATATTTCACTAGCTTCCCGCCCGCTGCTTCGTGAAGTTCGATTATATAGCGTTTCCAAGAGAACCTTTCAAAATTCTGGTATAAAAACTATCATATGTTCTTTCTCAAGGTCAACTTTATCTCTGTACCAAATTTCATTAAAATCAGTTCAGTGGTTTAGGCGTGAAAGCGTAACAGACAGACAGAGTTACTTTCGCATTTATAATATTAAGAAGGGATTAAAAAAATATATAATATAGTTATATATGATTTTTTATAACAAAAATATTATAACTTACCCCCGCCTAATGTAGAAGCATCAATATAAGATGGTTGCGAGGAACCAATGCTATTTGAGGCTGTCATTCTCAAAGAATACTTCGTCCCACATTTAAGACCTTCTAAATTAAAATCTTGAACACCCTGTATAGTCGCCACTTTATTCGACCAAGCATCTTGCCAGATACCGTTTGCTTCTTTCCATGTTAAATCAAACGCTGAAATAAGAAAATTATTGAAGATTTTTTGACGTGACTTGGTCAATATTGTATAGTATTGGGAAGGAAATTATGTGTGTATATAAAAAAATAGTAATTAAATGTCAGAAACATCGTTTAGTTTCTATAACTTCATATTATGTTATAGTTTTTTTTTCCTGCCCACTTTATGTAGGGTCGGCACAACATGTTATTCTCTTCCACAGAACATGTAAATAGTTTTGGCTAATTGTTATTACGACCGGCCGCCTGCCTGACATCAACCTTCTTTGGGAATGCATTAATTAGTGATGTCTAAATCTTAGAAAGTACATATGACTCGGAAAAATCACATTGGTACTTGCCAGGATCGAACCCGCGCCCTCATGCATGAGAGGCGGGCCTTTTAACCACTAGGCTACCACTGAAGGAATAAATTATAGTTCATTTATCTTATACTATACTACTTACTAATTTTCTGATTTTTCCCATTAATCTTCTTCGGTTGATCCCATTGTATGTAAAGCGAGTTCTTGTGAGGAGTCACTCTCATAATAGGAGGATCTGGAGTCGGTAGAACTGATACTACATACGAAACAGAATCTGATCCGTATAAATTCTTCGCTAGACAAGTGTAATTTCCACTCAATGATTGGTCTATATCTAAAAAAAGATATATTGAAATACATTATAGGACTATTTTCTGGGGAAATAAGTATATCTACCAATATTATTCTATACAAATTCGCTTTAAGAGACGACTTTGAAGTCAAAAATCGTTTATTAGGAAGACTAAGTTAATAATTTAAGTAGAACCAACTATACCTTATAGTATTATTTCATACAAATTTTCTTTAAGAATCGAATTTTGCAGACGAAATTTTTTTTGATAGGAAGACCAAATTAACAATTTTATAGCAAAAAAAGTATTTCCTTAAATTAAATTTTCGAACTTATTAATCATACATTGTTTTGGATGTGATATTACTTTCAAATAAATCAATATATCTTAATTTATACTGACTGTTAATAAGCACACTAACGACTTTTGAGGGAAAAAATCATTTATAAAAATCATAGACCAAGTTAACAATTTACCAACTAAAAAAAATTATTTTTTTTATATATTTCTCAATTATTATTAAAAAAATCTCTATTTAGATGTGATATTAGTTGTAAATAAATGAATGTCTCTTAATTTATACTAACTGTTTATAAGTAGACTATCATCGTGGTTCCTCGTGAATCTGGGGTGGTGGGTTATAATGTTGTGGTTGTGGTACCACACAGTGCGTGGTGGTGGCGAACCCGAACACGGACACGACAGAAGTAGAGAACGACCCACGCCCGTTGATACCCACGATGATAAAGATGATATACCAGCAACCACTGGTGATAGAAAATGGAAATTTTTACTTATTTGTCTATGGAAATTTTTACTTATTTATATATGGAAATTTTTACTTATTTATCTTCTTTGCATATAAACTAATGTTGCACAAAAGGAAAGTCGAATGCTATATAGCGTTTTCTATCAACTAACTTAACTATACATAATGTTAGTCTGAAACTTGACTGAGTTTATTCTTATACCGTGTAAAAAATTTAGCTTTTTTTGACATCTTATTGAAAGTACGATCACCTAAACCTGATTTTGGTTGGATATAACGATACATATATTATTTAGATTTAAAATATATTTGTTTTGTTAATAAATACTTTTTATTCACAACTTCGTTTGTTTGTCAAACGAAAGGATAAAATATTTGTATTCTATTTATTATTCCGATGTCCTAGCTACATTATTGTAAAGTTAATATACATTCCTATATTGAACTACTGGGAAGGTAATTTATTGACCTATTTTATTTTAAATTTTACATTATAATCTTGAATAACAATTCGTCCATATGTTTGCTAAAAAATATATACGAAAAAAGACGAAAGAAATAAAGCACATTCAAAAAATATATACTACTGTGAACAATGACTAAACTTAGTAAGCAAAGTCAAGTAATAATTCCAAAATAAATACAATTTGAATATTTGGAACAAATCCTTAAAATTATATTAAAGATTTTAATTAATATAAAAAATATAAGTTTTAATCTCACCTCGAGATGTAACTTCAACATGAATTCTATTACTAGGACTTCCTTCACCGACCGTAGTATGAGCTCTAACGAAAACTTCATATTGCAGACCAGTAGTCAAACCGATCACTGAGAACGTTAGCTGTGACAGGTTTGATTCCTGGTTGGGATCTACTCGATAGCTTTGCGGTGCGTTGGTACTGGAATTATATTTATTTATTATGAATATTAATTTCTGCATACAAATTCTTCCGCATATACTCCTAAATGAGCTTATGGAAAAATGATAAATTGTATGGTAAACAATAAATAAGTAGAAAAACAATATATCATATGGTAACCAACTAAGAGAGATAATTATAGTCTATGGAAGGAAACTTAAAATACACATTACTGTTATGAAAAGAAATGAAGAATATATCATGTATGTATGTTTTCGTGTTGTTAATATTGTAAACTACATTGGCTGTTAAATTACTTAAAAATTGGTTCAGTACTTTTTACTTGGTTACTTGTATAAATTCAATTAATATCAGTTAAAAATAATGAAGTGTAAATAAATCTATTTAAATTCCAGTTTATAACTAGGTTTGCACAAATTATTCATTATTTTTGTCTTAAAGCTTTACGGATTTAAATATTATGTCAACGTACAATTATGTATTAAAGTAACTCTATAACTTAATTCTATGGCAGTTCTTGAAAAAACAGTTACAATTTCAATCCAATCGTGATGTTAAATTGTGAGAGTAATACATTATTTACCATAACTCTACTACCTGGCAAATTCCCAGCTATAGCCAGGATCTGCCTCACATGTGAATAGTTTTGGCAAATTGTTTTTACGACACCGCCTGCCTGACATCAACCATTTGGGAATGCATTAATCAGTGATGTCTAAATACTCTTAGAAAGTACATATGACTCGGAAAAATCACATTGGTACTTGCCAGGATGGAACCCGGGCCTTATGCATGAGAGGCGGGCCTTTTAACCACTAGGCCACCAAAGACTTTACCATAATTCTAATATATAATAAGTGTATATACTTACCTAGTAACCGGTTTAACATATACAGTATAGTGTGTTATAATTCCGTTTGGTTGTTCGGGTTTTTTCCAACTAACTATCAACGATGTTGGTGAAGACACCAATGCTTTGATAGCCGCTGGTGCTCCTGGAACTTGAAATAAAAATCTCGATTAATTTTCAGATAATATACTTTGATATGGTACTATTATATAATTTTGTTTGATTTTTTATTGTTTATATATACATATATAAGGTTAATTTCCAATTTCTATGCTAAATATGATATAAACAAATGCATAAATATACAAATACATTGTTTTCCAAAAATATATTAGAACGAATGCTTTCTATAAAAATAAAAAATATAGAGCATTGTTATATGTCAAATTTTTAAAGCTAAATATTAATCAAATAATTATTTTTTTTACAAATCAAGTATACTTAGTCAATAATATTAAAAAGAAATTTTAATATAGACATTAAGACAGAGACATTGGGAGGTCACTTTATTTTTTATAAAATTGATTTAAAACCATTGCTTCTAGATATATAGTGAGAACCCAAGTACTTATCATTTTGTTACGTTCTACAATTACTTAATCTTCTATATATTTATATATAATTAATAAATTCAAAACAAAACTACGTAACTTACCATCTTGTAGTGTAGTACACACTACGGGATATGAGTAGGGACCGACTCCGTAACTAGAAAAGGCTGCCACTTTTAACGTATAATTCGTGAACTTCAAAAGTCCTTGGATGTATAACTCAGAATGTGGAGTTGATATATTCAACCAGGGACCATCTGAAAGAAAAAAAAAGTTATACTGGAATGTATTTATACACAAAAATATTTAATATGGTAGTGACTATACTCGACTATGATATAAAAATCTAGATAATAATAATATCTAAGACTTTGGGTTATTTATTTAAATGAAACGAAAATTTTCGAATTTACCAATACTTTCTTCAAAACCAAATAAGGTTTAGAAATTAGATTTAAAAGCCAAAATATTAATGAGATTAACGGTCGAAATAGTACAACTAAATGTTAATGAGTTTTACTTAAACTAAATGTATAATAATATATGTCTTACCTTCACTACTATATAATAGGACGTGTCCAAGATGTGGTGTTGAGGGACTGCGCCACGCCACACGTAGTGACGTAGAAGACGAGCCCACACACTCTACACCGGAAGGAGGCTCTTCTGGGGCTGGATATAGATAAATAAACAAATATATACACAATATATAGACAAAAAATATATATAAGAGTACTATAATATAATTATTATAGAAGAATACCATAATGTGAAGAATCGATCTAATGATGAGTGATTTAATCCATACTAATATTATAAATGCGAAAGTAACTCTGTCTGTCTGACCGTCTGTTACACTTTCACGACTAAACCACTGAACTGATTTTAATGAAATTTAGTTCAGACAGAGTTGACCTTGAGAAAGAACATAGGATAGTTTTTATCCCAGACTTTTGAAAGGTTCTCTTGGAAACGCGATATAACCGAACTCCACGCGGGCGAAGCTGCGGGTGGAAAGCTAGTTGGGAATTAATCGTTTGGTTCCACTTATATTACTGTGTATAGATGCATTGTTTGGTAAATTGGTGGAAAAAAAATATCTTTATTTAGTCCAATCTACTTATATACGGCAATTTGTCTCATTTCTTACTACACTTCAAGAGTGATGGTATAGAAGAATTTAAGCATGTATGTAGATTTCTATTCGACAGTAAACTCATCTAAAACTATTCACTCGATTGTCATTTCATCGAGAAAAAGAATGTGTTGGATAAAATGATTTTCATTACAAAAATGTTAGCAACATTTTTAAATAACACTATTTGTCTCTTAGATTTTGTCTAACATTTAACATTTCTTTATAATATGTTTTGATAAATTATTTTTTGGACTATAACTAAACAATGACTTCATCAAAATAAAGTTATTTTTAACTTACCGCCTTCTCTGGTAGTTTGATATACCGGCAAAGAAAATGGTCCATTACCAGCCGCGTTAAACGCACTCACAGATATTGCGTACCTAAAAGGAATCAATTATTACTAAATAATATAAAAAACAACAAAAATATATATATTTTTTGATATATTTTATTGATTACCTGGTATTTTTTAACAAACTAGTGAGTATAGTTTCTTGCTTTCCCTTCCTTGCCATTACTTTCACTAACTTAGTTTGTGAATCATTTGTTCCTGAAAATCAATACATGCATATTTAGCTTCACTTACAAACCTAATAAATCCAGAATGGTGGTAAATATTATTAAACAAAAACGTTTATTCAAATGTATCAAGATAAATTATTCATAGTTGCGATCTCAAATTTTCAGAATATTACACTTCATTAATATACGATGAGAGAAATTATTTTAAATTTTATTTAAAGGCACCTAAAATTTATCAGCCAATATGAAAAGTAATAGTCATCATGAGCTAATATAAAATGATACAAATAAATTATCGTCTAATGAACCAAGGCAAAAAAAAACAATTATGTAAATATAAAAAATACAAATTATTATGAAAACTAATCTTTGATCAATGATCAACTATAACTACGAATTCTGATCAATCAGTATTGTTTAAAACGATCGTTAGCCAATAAATAATTATAGAAACCCATTAAGTCATAATAAAAACATATTTTCGGACTGACTTAAAGATGGGTGTAGCGAATATTGTAGAATGTTTTCGACATTCTGCGACAGCGCCATCTCTTGACAAGTACGGGAACTATTAGCTATACGTTTACAAAAACATTCTATTGTTCATGTAAACACATAGAAATAAAATTGCTAAGTCGGATTTAAGTCTCTCGAGAAACGACATGCAAACGAAACAAGCGATATTATACATATATTATAATAAAATGAATATTTTTAATAGAAATTAAAGATGTTGGTGTTTGTATTGCAACTACTACTACTACTTTTACTACTACTACTACTACTCAAAGTCTATTTGGTTACAATACATATATATTACCACTATCCCCTCCAATCCTTGGGACAGCTTTCAATAAGTATCCTTGTAATGCTCCATTGTGTGTTTCTCGCGACGGTTGAATCCAAGACACTGATAATTCTCCGGGATTCTCTGTTTGCTCCACTTGAACACTCAATGGACTTGATGATGGTGCTTGGGAGAAAATAATTCATATTAAATATAGCAATTAATTTATTTGAAAAGAAATTATGGGACTTTCAACAAGGTTGCGTTAAACGTTTAACGCAACTGAAGGGGTAAAACGAGACAGAGAGAACGAATGTGTGGCGCTCAATTATAACTTATAAATAATGTTAATGAAGTTTGTCTTAAAGAAACACAAAAAAATCCTTATAAATCAATTTCCATCCCTTCTATTTTCATTACAATATTAAGAATTTAATCTTTACTTGCGGAGGGACTCCACGCACAATTAATTTTTGACTGATTTTCTTTGATGTTCTGTTGAAAATCGTTTTAGAGGAAGATATAAAGCAACCTAGCTGTAGGAACCTTTCGTGCTAATTTATCAATAGATTCACAATGAGAATTGAAGCCTTTACTTTTGTTGTTTTTAAGAATAAGAAATTGAAAGATTTTACACAAATGGATGCTTATAAAAATGACAAAAGATATTATAAGTTGGAAGTGATAACGTGACGACAAACTTCAATTCACTGAGTAGTAGTATAAAACTTAAAAAATTCAGCCACTTACAAATTTTTTTTTGTTACTATTTTTCCTCTCGTATTTACTATTATATTGACTATACATTTTCATATAATTGGGAGACAAGACAAATATACCATAATACATGAGTAGAAATATAGTTATATATAAGCAGATTATTACTATAAGTATCAAACTACTATCTTGTACCTTCTTGTAGTGTAGTAAAGTGTACCGGCGCGGTGTATTCGCTGAGAGCCACTTGGTTACCGGCGGACACTCTCACTCTGTACTCAGCCGCTGGTTGAAGACCTACTAGCTGAACGGATTGGCGCGGGGCTTGTTGTCTGAAAGATTATTATTAATGATCTATATATATCTACCTGGCAATTTCCCAGCTATAGCCAGGATCTGCCTTACATGTACGGCAATGAAAGGCGGATCGTATATTTTCTGTGTTTAAATCTTTCGTCTATGTTATATTCAGATTTCATTTCACGATAAGTTTAAATCGAGATAGTTTAAAGTTGTTAATTTAACATTGGCAGTGATTTGTGTAAATTTAATACATTAATAGTGAAATTGTATCGAATATTATTCATAAAAAATGAATTCCTATCTTGTTTCTAAGAATATTTAAACAACTATTGGTCCACATTATTTTAATGTGCTAGCGACATCTATCATTGTGTCACTTGACTATAAATAAGACGAAGTGAAGGAATAAAATATAGAATCAGTCTAATTCTGATATCTTATATATAAATGGAAAAAACATTTATATACTATGGACATCCTATCACACTTTGGAATTTATAATAATGGTAATAAAAATTATTGAGTTTTAGTTTTCTTATTCTTTTATCCTACAATCAAGACCAATGTTTTAATTTCTAATACCTAACATTTATTTCTTTATACATTTAATTTTTCATCAGTCACAACAAATGTATCAATTATATATACATACTAATATGAATAAAAATATTCTCCATATATAAAATGTCTTTTTATATATTACCTTGTTATATTAATAGTTTTAGCAGCATCCCACAGACTGTATTGGTTTGAAGTGTACTGTAATGTATAATACTCAACATGAGGCAGAGTGTCTCTGAATGAGAGCTTCGCTATTGAACTGCTAACTGTATCCACTTGAAAATCTTGTGGGGGACTTGGAGGTTCTGGAATTAATAACCATTAAATTAATTTATTTTATTTATTTTCAGGCAACAAGGTCCACATGTTAGTTACAAAAGTACTTAATAACTATGTTAGTATTTTTTGTTAGTAACATATCTTCTATCTGGCAATTTACCAGCTTTAGCCAGAGTCTGCTTTACATGTTGTGACTAGTTTTGGCTAATTGTTTTTACGACCGGCCGCCTGCCTGACATCAACCCTCTCTGGGAATAATTTTATGTCTATGTTATGTTAAGTCTATGTTAGTACTTAATCACTAATAGGGATACAGAGGACTAGTATTAGTATTTTCGTCAGAGGACCATCCCCTTTCATGGAAATAATACGCAGAATGCTGTTGTTAATTAAAAGGATTCTTTTAATATACATAAAATTATGACTTGATCAATCAGCTATACTGTTAATTCCTATAAAAATATATAAATTTATTTTATTGAAAATCTGTATATTATATTAGGTGATAAAACTAGATTACTTGTATCAGAGCTTATATGTATATATCAATGCATTTTAAAACTATAAAAATATATATAAAAATGTAATTTAAAAACTACAAAAAATTACATAGAGATAAAAAATCTCATAAAACTTGTATATAATAAAAACATAGCTATAAGTAAATATTTTATATTATCATCATCATCATCATCATCAGTCTATCAGAGCCCACTGCTGAGCACACGTCTCTTTCTCACATGGACAAGGTTTGAGCATTAATATCACCACGCTTGCTCAAGACGGGTTGGTGATTTCAAACTTATATTGAAATTATAAGTCCAGGTTTCCTCACGATGTTTTCCTTCATCAGTCAGATGTGTCTAAATACTTTTAGAAAGTACATATGACTCGGAAAAATCACATTGGTACTTATATAATGTATGTAAATATAACTCACCCAATATATTTAAGTGTATATTATAACTATCCACTCCGTATGGGTTGCTTGCTCTACACTCATAGTTCCCTCGATCTCTTCCTTCAACATAATTGATGCTTAATGTGCTATTCATACCAGTGTATGTTTGACTCTCAGATATTGTGATTCTGAAATATATGTATTATTGTTATTATTTATACACCTTATACAGGGTGTATGAAAAACTGTGTCAACCCTTGAAGGCACGTATACATATAAGTATAAGCTTATTATAAAAAATAGTATAACTTAAAAAAAAATCAAGCAGAAGTTAGTTACAGTGCATAAACTAAATAAGTTTTAAATCGACATTTTTCGAAAGAATGATTCAAACATCTGACTCATAAAAGGTCAAGACACCGTATAGTCGCTACGGCGCATGCGTGACCATTGACCGCAGGTGACGGGCCGCCGGCGTTATTATTACTATTCTGTTATTTGTTCGTATAGAGATTTGAAAGTGTAAAAATTAGTTATATCGATAAATATTCTATCGACATTTTCAATATTGCTATAAATAGTTATGCTTTTCACATTAAAATAATTTCATTTAAAATAACTTTTATTAATAATAAATATTATAATTTGACACTTGTTCAGGTAAATTAACTACATATGTTGTATTATTAGGATAAAACGTTAACCTATTTCTGTTAAAAATGGTGTTTTACAATCAAACATAATATTAATGTTTGATATATCAAAATAAGTATCGAAATAATATTAATATTAAATATTTATTTATTGTTATGATTTTTTAAATATCGATATTTTCAATAATGTGAAAGTAACTTCAAGGTCGTCACTAGTAGCGCAGCAGCTGTGATGACGTCATTGCGTGTCATCGTGTTATACCAGTGGGTACAAACATTTTGTTACTCTACATATAATAATCATTTAATATTTAATTTTATTATTTTTATTGAAGAGTTTGTAAATGTAAGTTGTTTTATTGTGTTACATTATCGATACTGATAACGTAGTTAAGAGGGTTGACACAGTTTTTCATACACCCTGTATATCTGTTTTTTATTGTGCCTACATATACCACACTTCTTATATAGTTTCCTCTATCAAAAGGATTTCTCATTGAGATCTCTTTAAAGAGATAAGTTAGGCTTTGTGCATCACATCCCTACTAATATTATAAATGCGAAAGTAACTCTGTCTGTCTGTCTGTCTGTCTGTCTGTCTGTCTGTCTGTCTGCTACGCTTTCACGCCTAAACCACTGAACTGATTTTAATGAAATTCGGTACAGAGATAGAGTTGACCTTGAGAAAGAACATAGGATAGTTTTTATCCCAGACTTTTGAAAGGTTCTCTTGGAAACGCGATATAACCGAACTCCACGCGGCGAAGCTGCGGGCGGAAAGCTAGTTTTTTTATAATAATGAAACTATTTCTACTTCTGCTACATAAATTCCTATATAACTTTATATACAAGGTATATAACAAAAAAGGTTACAGTTAACTCAAGTTTACTTGTTTGTTGGATGCTCAATTTACTTCTAAGCTTCTAATAGTTATTTTTAAAGCTATAAATTCACTTTTATCCCTACTAATATTATAAATGCGAAAGTAACTCTGTCTGTCTGTCTGTCTGTCTGTCTGTCTGTCTGTCTGTCTGCTACGCTTTCACGCCTAAACCACTGAACTGATTTTAATGAAATTCGGTACAGAGATAGAGTTGACCTTGAGAAAGAACATAGGATAGTTTTTATCCCAGACTTTTGAAAGGTTCTCTTGGAAACGCGATATAACCGAACTCCACGCGGCGAAGCTGCGGGCGGAAAGCTAGTTTTTTTATAATAATGAAACTATTTCTACTTCTGCTACATAAATTCCTATATAACTTTATATACAAGGTATATAACAAAAAAGGTTACAGTTAACTCAAGTTTACTTGTTTGTTGGATGCTCAATTTACTTCTAAGCTTCTAATAGTTATTTTTAAAGCTATAAATTCACTTTTAAGAAATAAAATACAGTAATACCCCGCTTTACGCGAGGGATTCGTTCCGAAGAAAATCGAGTTAACTGAAATTCGCGTATATCGAGGTTTATGATTAAACACAGACAAAATTTAATACACAAATATAAAAATCATTTTAATCAATCACTTTAACTCTAAGAACACTATACAATACATAGGTACTCCTATTTTTTACGAAAAAATACATGTATTGTCTTTTGGGTAGCGTTTTGTTTACGTTCTTGTAAAATACGTTCATAACACCAAACACTGTTTTTAATCGTTTGACACACGTTCAAGACACGGTCATCATTATTGTCTATACTCTGCAATGTCCCAACCTATTCATAAATTTTTGAAAAACGCGTTATAGTGAAAACGCTTACAACGAAGTCGCGTTAAGCGGGGTATTACTGTAATTCACATTTGAAAATAAGTGAAAATTCTACCGAAATCTTCCATTTCTCTTTAAAATTTTATCCATATTTTTAATACTATAATTTAGGTGTTTCAAATCTATATATATAAAATAAAGTCGTGTTTCTTACAACACTTATAACTCGAGATCGGCTAGACCACTTTTCACGGTTTTTGGTTCGTTGAAATGTGTGTTAAAGAAGAAAACTTAAAGAAAACTCGACGAAAATATGTAAAAGACCGAAACGGGTTGTATCTGTCATTTGTCAAACATTTGTTGTCCATGTTATCAAATAATATAAGTAACGGTTGACATGAGTTCAGAAATAATGAAAAATGATTAACGTTTACGCGTGCGTTTATTAATTTATTTTAGTAAATTAAAGGTTCTATTCTAGCGACATCCATCGAAAGAAATTGGAGTTTGTAATTGTCAAGTCAATTGTCATGTTATTAACTCACACAAAAATATAACAGATAGCGCTAGCAGTCTAATAAATGCAGGCCTTGATTTGAAATACATAAAAATATAAATGTTACATTTTAAAACTGTTTTTGAATATTATTAGTTGAGGTCTGGACAGATTATCGAATTACTTAAGACTTATACTATTATAGTATTTATTTCAAAAAATATATAGTGAAAAAGATACACTACACATATAATATATGTATAAGAAAAAGACACACCATTGTCTGTCGAGTCAGCTGTACATGTAATGTAATGTAATTAAGAAATTAAGTTCATTGAGATAAAAAGGTAACAGATATTTTTGATTACAGGGCGGTACGAAGTCCGCCGAGTCATCTAGTATTCAGATAAATTTTGGATAAACATTTACGTTTTTTCATCACGATTTAAGTCTCAATGCTAACGCCATCTAGATATTGACAAAGAAACCATGTTCTGCTTCAACTAAACATTTCTTTATAGACTTCAAACCTATGAAGCAAAAGTTTCGTAATGAATGTAACAGATGGCGTTGTTAAAGAAAATAAAATGTAATAACATGAATTATATCGAAATTTTTGTTGAAATATAAGAAAAATTAGAATAATTATTTTATGTATTTTACCTTGACGATGTAAATTCGACTGGTTTCCCATCCAAAGTCCATTTTATCCTTATAGGGCTGTCACCCAGCGGTTGACAAGTTAATGTTATCGGCAACCCTATTTTAGTGGTTAGATTCATGCCCAGAGACTCAAAATGCACTGGCTCTAGAAATAATCTGTTCATTAATAAAATAATGGTAATATTTTATTAATGTAAAATAATGATAAAAAATATTCTTCTATTTATATTATCTAGTAAAGAAATATATGTAAATTTAAGAGAAAAAAATTATAAAATACAGACTGAAATTCAAATAAAAAATAATGATTTTTAAATACTATAGATAAATAGATATAATCAACTATATCTCCAATACTTACTATTGACACTTATCCAAAGATTTTTATTAAGGGCTTCCCCTACACCATTATCCACGTGACACGCGTATTCCCCTTCATCGGATAAAGATACCACTTCTAAGGTCAAACTACCGTTGGGATAACTTGATACCCCACCAGCCAAATCTAGGATAGGTCGCCATATTCCTAAACCTATTAAAAATTACAATTAAATAACAGCTAATACCTAAAGATAAAAGATAAAATCTGGCTGAAACCTAAAAGTAAAAGATAAAATGTAATGTAGCCAAATACCCAAAAATAAAAAATATATAAAATGAAATAATAGCCAGATACGTAAAGCTACGAAAAGATAAAATCTGGCTAAAACCTAAAAGTAAGAATTTTAAAATGTAAATTAACCAAATACCAAAAGATAAAAAATATGTAAAATGATATAAAATCCAGATATGTAAAGCTACAAAAAGATAAAATTTGGCTAAAACCTAAAAGTAAGAAAAGATAAAATTAAATAAAAGACATATCTAAAGCTTAGATAAAAGAATGAAACATAAATGAATAAAATGGTTGGAGTAATTTGTCTTAATTAGTATGTACCCGGGAAAAGTCACAGTGGGCAATTCTGTTAAGTGGCACTTGGAATAATTCACTTCACTAAAAGATAACTTCGTGCTACTAAACTTGGTTCTTTATTGAAAAAAATAGTTTGCAAATATTTGTAAATTTGTGTCTTTTTTTTCTTATAATGCCATTCTTTTTAACTCTAAACGTACGAACAATGAAATTTTTGTTATTGTTGATAAAAAATAAAAAAAACCTTTAGGTTTTTAAAATTAATAATATTTTATGTTAAAAAAAACATGTGTTTTAAAGGATTATGCAGTTAATCATTCCATTTGTATAGCTGTATTTTTTATAGGACTTTCACTGGCAGATCGGTGATGTGATAAATAACTTGGGCAACAATAGTTATAGATTCATAGAAATAAATAATAATTCCCAGCAGAAATCACAGGCAAAACTAGTATAGCTCATATATAGTATATTAATATCATACTGTCTCGCTTCATCCAATGAATCTGTGGTTCAGGATATCCGTTAGCATTACAATCAACAACACCTCGATGTCCTAGTAAGAGAGATTTGTTCGTTGGTTCTTCAACCCATTTTGGAGCAACTGAAAGTAACAAAAATTTCTATCAATTTTCACCTTATTTTGTGTCCTTTTATGTCACTATAAAAAAAGGCATATTTTTTATGACAATTGTTATAAAATAAATTAAAGACCAAATTATAATCATACAAATTTCAGTGGCCTTCTTACAAGGCTAAATTCATACTTCGTAAATTAAATTTACGCATATATATGTGGGAGGTTTGGATATCAATGAATGGTTGAAATTACAGAATTTTTGTTTGATTTGGCAAACGCAACTATCGTCATCACATCGTCTTTTAATCTCAATCTTACTTTTTTTTGTACATGTTTTAACTTCTCTCGACTTTTTGATGCTATCTCAATCTTGACATTTTTCTAATGTTGCTACATTAAACTCTGGGTTAACATATACAAATACTTTTAAAAATAATATAAAACAAACTTAGAAATTAAAACTTCTTCCCACATATATATGATGTATATGTTATATGATGTATATCGTACCGTTTATATAAAGCTCAGTGGTCTGATTGACCTTGCCCACGTGGTTGGTAGCGATACAAGTGTACCGGCCGCAGTGTTCCAGCGACACTCGCTTTATTATCAATACGCTGAATAACTCTGAACTCCTTTCGTTTATCTGAATTGTGAATATATAAGTGTAGTATATAAATTTAGATGCTTAGACATAAGGGAAGTTTAATTTTAATGTTCTATATTTACTTATATGAAGATTAACTTCGAAAACTTTTGCAGTAGGTAGAATTATATACATATATACAGGATGGTAAAGAATGGATAACCTTGAAATGTCTTATAGAAGAACTTATGGCCGTCTAGAAAAAAATATGAATCAAAATATATCCCAAGGAGTACTCTAGATAATTTTTTTTTTTTTTAAGTTTATATATTTTTTTTTACCTTATTTTACTTTCTTGAATGCTATGGTCAGAAATGAATGAATAACATCGGTTTTTTGGTGTTTTATTAGTATGATGATACATAATATATAAAGTAGACTATCAATAGCACATTTCTTTTTTTAAATACACAAACTAGCTTAATTTGTAAAAATTATCAATTTTTTTTAACAATTAGACAGCTTGGGTATAAAAAATGTATTGATACATTAGTGACCAATCATTTTAAAATAATTTCGGTTTCATGCAGATTTTACAATGGTACAATTCATAATTGTATCTGTCATAAGTAGTGAGTTATTGCTATTAAAGTAGAAAAGGAGCAAGTTTGACTAAATAACAAAATATATTTTGAAATCAAATATGTAGTACCATTTGAGATTAATAACAACAGCATTTGGCATTAAAAACTGATGGTATTCATTCATTTCTGGCCGTAGCATTCAAGAAAGTAAAATAAGGTAAAAAAATATATAAATTCTAAAACAAAAAACTTATCAAAACAAGTTCGACTATTGATACTATAATCTGTGAACTAAGTGATTTATATATTTGTAGAACAGCTCTTAGCATAGAAGAAAAATCATTATCTTCACTAACCTTCAAACTTGCGGGTATTTTCATACCGTCTTTTAACCAGGAGAAGAATATAGGTGGATCTCCACCGATAATGTTGCAAGTTATTTGAACTATTTGACCTTCCTTCAATCCGGAACCAACTCTCAGTTCATCCAATTCTGGTGCTTCAACCACTTGAATCTCAAAGGATCTGGAAAATATTTGTTTAATACGTCTTATACTTTAAATATAACGTACTTTTCAAACCTTCATTAGGCTTATAAAAATATAAGGCTTTTGTATGCTCGTATTATTTCTTATTGAGTTAAAAAAAAATGCTTGAAAGTTTTGAAACCTGATAAATATAGATTGAGGATTGTTAATCTCTTCCAAACTTTTTCATCATTACAAAATTTGGTTAGAAAATATTACTTTCTAAATAAATGTTCCCTACATAAGAGAATATGTTTTATAATAGCTTTCCGCCCGCTGCTCCGCCCGCGTGGAGTTCGGTTACATCGCGTTTCCAAGAGAACCTTTAAAAAGACTAGGATAAAAACTATCCTATGTTCTTTCTCAAGGTCAACTCTGTCTCTGTACGAAATTTCATTAAAATCAGTTCAGTGGTTTAGGCGTGAATGCGTAACAGACAGAGTTACTTTCGCATTTATAATATTAGTAGGGATAGTATCCTACACAGTAGGTATTATTTCATCTCACCTCCTAGCCATTTCTCCCGAAGGACTGTAAACTATACATGTGTACATCTCCCCGTTTTCCTCTTTAACGACCCTCTGTATATTAAGCAATCCGTCCTCACTAGTCTCAATCACCTGTCTCTTCTTGCGATCTATTTTGTTATTTTCATCTAAAAATCTATTTTCCGTCCTTTTATATCTAGCGTGTTGTGGCAGCATTGTGCTAATTATCTTTTTTCCTCTGTGTTCCCATTCTAATTTACTATATAATGAAATTGTATTGTTATTTTAATGTACATAAAAGATTTGATTTTACTTAATTATGCAAAAGCAATTTATTGGTTAAATAAAGTAAGAAAATACTTTTAGTCATAACATTTGAAGTTAACTTCGAACTAATAATGATATTATCTCAGGCAAGACAAATTTGAGAGTCTTCTGGAATTTTTAATTATCAATTTTGGTAGCAAGCTTATTGTTGGATAATGTTTACCTTATTGGGAATCCATAGTAGGGACATTTTAATTTCAAAGAGTCACCGCTTTGTACTTTTATCGGTGGTAAAGTTCTTATGTATGGTGGTCCTAAAAATAATAAAACCCTTAACAATACAATTTTATTCTTACTAGGAAATGTTTACGTAACCAAAATCACATAAACCTATACATCAAAATACATATAACAGTTCAGAAATAGCTTTACCAATAATCAACAAATACTACCGATTAGCATAACACAAACTGAATTTAGTTTCAAATTACTTTACCATAGAAATGTATGCTAAATTAACCGAAACAGTTTTCCTAAATCTCACAAAGGCCTCGTCTGGCTTCTGATTGAATTAAACTAATTTGATTACAACAGTTAAGGCTGTAAATTACTCAAATATTAATTGGGTAACCGGGATAATATGTTGATGATTAAAATACAATTTATTAGTTTTATATGATTGTAAAAATCAGTAATACAAAATCTCATTCGTTCTAATATGTATATGTTATGGAAAATAAAATATGGTTGAAATTAAAAAAATATCTTAGTTTAAATGAAACTAATATTTTCGGATTTACTACGCGTATTTTTATTTTTGATTATAAACTACATACTTACTCCCGGGATCACGGGAATCTCGTCTGCCCCTGATCACGGTTGCTATAAAGTAGCCGAAACGTCGGGAGTATGTAGTTTATAGTCAAAAATAAAAAAACGCGTAGTAAATCCGAAAAATTAGTTTCATTTAAATGAGTACTCGCGAAAATATTAGATCTCATTAATATCTTAGTTTTATTTGTCAAACACATCGTCTTTTAATTTTCATATTAACATTTGTCTAGTGTTTTTCTAAATTAAATCTAAATTAAACTCTGGGTTTAAAACCCTTTTCCCACACATGTATTTTTCCATCTATAATTTCTTTTTCTCCTTATACCTTGTTCTCACATAATTAGTTCTTAACAGTTATAATAAATACAATTAGATATAGTGCAAATCTGTGATGCAATCTTTTATATTTATAAGTTGTACAATTTATTATTTAGAATAATAAACGTGCTACCTTTACTCAGGTCTTAGCTTCATTAAAATTATGGACATTTCAAATGTTCTTAATGACCGCGTCATTAAGGGAATTGCAAATTAAAGTTTTACTTGACAAATCTGTTACAATCCATATAGTACATACACATGATTTCACAAATTATTTTTTATAAATATTATCCTTTTTTTTTAAATATATAAGTACAAATTTAGTCTAATTATAATAATTAAACTTGTCATTACTTCTACGATTATTCAGAAAATATTATTATTCTTAGAACTACATATATCAGGTAAAATATATATTGTGTTAGAACAATTTCTGTATAGCAGATGGAAATATTATTCTTGATTTTCAGTCATTTGAATTAATGTCACGGTACTCGAGATTCTTATGAAGAAAATATTTTTATTCGTAACATAATCTACGTTTTTTTGTCTCATCCATTCCATGATAAATCTTTCTGTTTGGGTGAAATATTGGCTACATTTTCGTGCTTTAACCTTAATTTTTTATTGTAAGAATTTTTCATTATTTATGTGAATGTATAGTAATATACACATTACGGACTGTACTAGCTATGCTTTTATGTATTCTAGTGTGGATGCAAGAATACTATAGTTTTTGAATAAAAAAATATGATTTGTATAAGTCGGAAGCATGTAGTTTTTGATATTATTATTAATAATAAATTATGTGTAGTTTATCCGAAAATATTAGTTTCATTTAAATGAATTCTCGCGCAAGTCTTAGATCTCATTATTGCTAATACAGTTTTCTCTAATAGTATATGAAAGTTTTATGCATATATATAAGTATTTTTATTATGTATTTAGTAGGAATTATTATTCCAAATCTATCAAAAATGATTCATTTGAAATATTCCATATTTAATTAAATTCCATATTTAACTGCATGATTTATGTCACAGATTTATACTATTGTTACAACTATGTATTATAGGTACTATTAATTTAGTAACGTGAGAACTAAATGAAAGGAAATATACAAAAAGGCACGAGGAAAAATATATATATTTTACAAATGAATTATCTACAGGATTTTTTTTGGACAGCAATGATATATCTTATAATAATTAATTAATCTACCTCCAATAATTCGCAATATCTTGTATACTATTCTAATGAAACTTTTGTCAACCTAACATAAGATATAATGGAAAATTCTTACCGTAAACATCAATTCTAGCACTATGTCGTGTATTGGAGTCTCCTTCATAGGCTACACAAGTGTATAGACCACCATCCTCGACCCTTGACCTCGATATATTCAAATGCGATATCACACCGACACCACTCGCTGACATCATTTGACCTAAGATGTATCTGAAATTAAATGATGAGCATAATATACATCATCATCATTACTTAAGAGTAAATTAAATATTATCGTGGAATTTATAAACTGTCATTTTTTTGCTGCTTTCAAATCAATATATTGCATAATATTTTGGGTATTAAAATGGAGTGAAGTGATAAAGAACACATAATTGCTGTGATTGCATTACATAAAATAGTTATTCTACCAAATATTCATTTTAAAACCTTACATACGTTTGGTATTAGTGAAATATTTATATGTCGATCTATTGGTGGCTGTAATGAAACTTCTTTAATTTCGTTAAAAAAATCTAGCCATCCATTTAGTGATCGTACGAAAGATGCGATAAAAGCAGAAATGAAAAGAATTCCAAGATTCTGTGCGAAAGCAAAAGATCTTATCTCTAGAGATAAAGATATCTTTCAGAACCTATTGCATATTTTAGAAGATGACTGAAGATTTGCATGTTTTAAGATCGTCCACTGATTATTTCAGAACTATGTAGTAATAAAAAATATGGTTGTAAAATAAAAAAAGCATTTAGGTGTAACTCAAAGGAAGGTCAAAATGTATTTGCTTACGTATGAGAAGATTTTATAAATTAAATTGAGTTAAACAAACGACTGTATTTATGCTGAAGTCTCTAGAAGCATTCTAATACTTCAAAAGAGCACATCGTTGGTATTTCAGTACTTCAGTTAATATTAGGTTGAAAGTTGGTTATAAAACTGTTTGAGTCATACTTTTGTATAATGTATAACTAAAGAAGCATACGTCTATCAAGCTATAATTATTAGAAGGAACGTAAGCTCTTCATTGACGCAATATTCAATACTAAAAATTTGTCAAAGACTTGGAGCTGGCTTAAACAGCTAGGTAAGAAACTATATCCGGACTCTGTCACTGCTAAATATCCTCTTGAAGTTAAGCCAGCGGATTATAACTTATGATCGGTGTTTGGGAATAAGGCTGGTTCTAAATACCATGAACAATTTAATTTTCTTACACAATCTATACGATTCGCCTTGAAATTTTTTTACAGGATGAAAGAGTGAGCTGCTATTGATAACTGGCCTTAACGTTTCCAATACTGTATTGCAGCCAATGGTGATAACTTTAAAATGCTTACAGAAAAATAGTTCTGGTTTTCTTTGTAACATCATATATGTACATATATTTACTCTAAGACTAAGTATTTTCAATACTTCAATTATTATCATTAATTATTATTATTAAATACCAATGTCTCTTTTCAGACCCAACACATATATTTATTTTTCCGAATTAGTATTTTATCTATCTATTTTGTACAATTTAGTCGTTGATATATGTAATAACTATATTTTATTATACATTATTTACATCAATACTTATAAATGTTTTTAGTGAATCAACTCTAGGGACATAATATCAAAAATGTTTCCTTCCTCATAAAATTAATAAAAATAGTTTATTTTAATCTCATATGCAGTTAAAAGTAAACATATATATTACACCAAGTAATTCCATGTTCTAACAAAATGTGTTACAATATTTAATGTTTTAAATTAAACAGATATTTTTACCTGGAGTCTGTGTTAGAAGAAATCACAACACCATCCCTCTCCCATATAAATCTCGGTGGCTTATCAGATGTCGCTGTGCACTGTAAACTAACCTGAAATAATGCTCGTATTAAAAGCATAAGGCACGAAAAAAATGTATTCTGCTTCTATATATACAACTAATGGTTTATGTAATATATAGTTTTATTGTTTTGAATATAATTCTGTTATTAAATAACCAATTATTAATTTTTATTTTAAGTTAGACTATTTCATTATTTTAATGTATCTTAGATTACTGTCGAATAACAAATTGAAAAAGTATATTATATTTATAATTTAACTTCTCTTTAAAAGTCAAACACATTTATTGTTACATATTTTATTTCCTGAATGTATTAGTAAGTAATTCAGTGTTGTTTTCTGTACCAAAATATATTATTAAAGTTATATTTATATGATAATATTATTTTTACTTACATCTTCACCCGGAGATACTATTTTATTATTAAAATGTTGAGTGATCATCACGTTTCTAGGTCCTAAATCCCTTTTCAATCGGAGGCCTATAAAATAATTAGGATGCATTCAATAATATTAAAAAAAAACCCTCCTGTCACAGAAAAATTTACCAATTATTTCATAGATATATTTTAGGTAAGCATAGTGAAATATCTAGTTTAATCTTTTGAATCTATAGTGACGTCATATTCCTAAACAATTATTTGACAAACTCAATATGTATGTATATATACATATGTACGCACAATTAGAGCACATTTGATTTAAGATATCTACCACATGGTAAAGCATTATTCCACCGAATATAAACGTATTGAAATGCATGAAGCTTAAATAAAATCTAGCTACAATAAGCTAAGCCTTTGCATAAATTAAGCCACATTCTAAAAAATTAATCACTTACCCAAAGAAATCGGTTCATATGAAATATCCAGCTTATGTTTTTTTCTATTCTTTTTGTATTCATTTGATCTGAAATACGAGTTACATATTAACAACTATGAACCATTACAATACTCTTTACAGTGTTGAAATAAAAATAAAAATCGCTTTTAGTCAAAGTGCATAATCCGTAGATGATTCATAAATGAATTGTATCACAGCATCAATAATTATTCCAGCCTTAACAGCGGCTATGTGAATTTATTTCCCTCGTATTTAATTTATTTAGTGTGGCATAATAAGTATTCATTTTGTACGTAAAATACGATATTATGATGGAAATTTAACAGATACATAATATGAATTAATGGGCGTTAAATTAAAATTAATAAATTATGCTATATATTTTCAGAGTTAATTTACATTATCCAGTACATTATCTTTATAAGTGAACTTTGATATTTAGTTTCATACTTTTAAGAGAATTGTAATTTTTGTTACCCTTGTAGTACTATTATTTAATATTGATTATTTCTTAGTAAAATTGTAAAATACATTTGCTACTAAAAGTGATTTAAGCCTCAAGTGAGTTGTAGATTTTACGTCTTATAGTAAGACTGTATTCTATACAGTCGTAATGCCAAATCTGATATTGTAAACAAAGTATTTAAAACAATACTTAAAATAATAATAAAAATCATTTTTGTATGACAAAGATAATTAAAATAAAGAATTATTTACATTAATTCAGACGTAGTGACAAAGAAGGATGCATAAGGGAGATGCAAATGGAATATAAACTTTCTAGACGTAATTTCTCATTAAGTTTATAATTAATGAATTCATTGTGAATTCGTGTGAAATATGGCTCTTATAATTTAACATATAAGAGCCAAGATTACTTGTAGTTATACATATGTTTACCACAATGCATGCTTCAGCCCATAAATTCAAATTGAGCATACATTAATGCATAGCCACGAGTTCTGGTCGTGGTAATTTCATTAATCTCAGTTTAATTTATGCATAGTTAACCGTTGTTAAACTAGGTTCTGTTTACTAGAGCGTAATTAGATTTCTGATTTGATCTTTAGGCTATTGTATAGAGTAACAACATTTTGGTTTTACTGATATGATATATTTATTAAACTGCATAATAAGCAAGTGATAGTTTTGAACTAAATTAGAAGTTTTGGTGTCTGAATGTAGATTGGAGTAGTGCCAGAACTGTAAATGAAACGAGCTCTTTGGATCAAAAATTCAGATTTGTTATACGAGTACGATCCGTATCTTCGCAATGGCTTTAATGAAATGTAGATTTATATTAATAATATTTTAATAATGCTAGAAACATATATTATAGTGCTTCTGAAAATTTATTTATGTTACAAATGACCTTTAAATGTCAATATTATTTTCTTGCAAATTAAATGTGTTTAAATATTCACCTCATATTTGTGAATCCTGTCCAAAAAAGTGTACCTGCAAAAGATAATAAAATTTAATAATACGTAACATACATATGTATACTGAAACTATTTTAAACAAACGTTCTGTTTACTACAGATGCTATTCTCCTTATTCTTATTTACTTAAAAACCTTGTAATATAAACTGTATATGAAATAGAAAATTTATAGTCATTAGTGTTTTTAAACCAAAACGAAAATCATAATTACAGCCAACCGCCGTGTTAATAAATTTCAAACACTTCGAGTTTAAAACTTCATCTGAAGGAAACAGGACTTAAATTGAAAAATAAAACTGGAAGAAAAGTTTCAGAGACTTCATTTAAAACTGTATTATAACCGGATAAAGTTGGTATTGGCTTGCCGACAGCGTATATATAGATTACTGGTGGGGTTAACCGGTAACTTTCTGGACCACAACTCTGCGCAAGTTTTGGAGTGCATTCAGTGCTCTACAAAACTAAACTGCGTGGAAATTGCGCTACAAAATCGTTTGGTAATGTTTTTTCGAAGTTGAGATTTCGTGAAGTTTGAAGTGTGAGTTGAACTCATTGAATATGAACCGAATTTTTAAAATTAATTGAATATAAGCGTAATTTTGATATATATTTTTTTAGTGGTGATAAGTTTGAACAGTTGTTTTTAACGAGATGTTTCATACTTTAATACTTTTGAGCTTGAACGTAAATTGTAATCGAAATATTAAATTTTTTGATATTATTTTACAGATAATATTTTATGGAATATTTAGTTGAAATTTCACATTACAAACTATTTTCACACAAACTACTTTAAACTGAGCAAGCTCCAGTTGGTAATTCGACGGATAAAATACTAAATGAAAATCGAGATAAGCAAAACTCTAAAATAAATTTCCAAACAATATCCTATACAATAGCCCGGTCTAAACTTTATCCAATCTACGTACAATGAAGAGCAAAATAATAGTAAAATTGAAAAAGCAATTTTTATACTTAAAACTTTTAATTAGATTCGTCATCCAACTGTATAAAATAATTTTGTTTTAAAGTTTTCTTAATAAAACTTAAGTCATGTTAAGCATATTGAAATTTCTTTCACTATAAACTTTCGGATTGTTACTAAAAAATCTCGTCATGATATACATATTTTTACATCTAATTTTACAATTTTAGTTACACAAATTGTATGAAGACAAATATTTTCATGAACTTCTCCATGGAAAATTTCAAGGTTCTTTTCATAAGAATAGTTTACACGTTAGAAACAATTTGAAGATAGGATAAAATAATTGTAAGGTAAAAAAGGCACTCACGCAATTCTTTTCCTTCAACTTCATAATATACTCGTAGAACTTAAAGCTTTGTTATGTTTATTTACCTAATAGTAACAAAGGAAATATACTATATCATATTAAATTCTCTATTTCAATTATATGATGACTAATATAATTCTAAATATACGAAAAAATGAATTTAAAATTATGCATATGATATATAATACAAAAATATTATACAATTTTATACAATCCAGTATTTGTAAATTGTTATTGTATGATTACTTATCTATCATTAAACCTTAATTTTTACGTTAATAAGAATATTTTGTATCCTCCCTAAACAATGTCAATGTTAATGAGGTTACATAATGATAATTAAAAACATACAAACCAACAGTCGTCGTCGTCATCAGCCTATCAACGCCCACTGCTGAGCAAAGGCCTCTTTCTCACATGGAGAAGGTTTGAGCATTAATCACCACGCTTGCTCAGGACGGGTTGGTGATTTCAAACTTATAATTGTGAAACTATAAGTCCAGGTTTCCTCACGATGTTTTCCTTCACCGTAGGTCAGTGGTGTCTAAATAATCTCAGAAAGTACATATGACTCCGAAAAATCACATTGGTACTTGCCAGGTTTGAACCCGCGCCCTCGGCAATGAGAGGCGGACCTTTTTAATCACTAGGCCACCACTGACTATAACCAACAGTCGGCTTTCAGCATTTCATTTTAAATAACGCACAACTAAGCAGATGTCAGATTCAATCTTGCTGACCAGGTCTTAAAATCTTAGCAAAATCTTCACAAAAGGATCACTTAAATTACTTCGATAAAAGATAATGTTATCTTTGAAACATAATGACGACACCAAAGTTATTAACATAAATTAGGAAAAATCTTTCATCAACAATAAGATTGGTGGAATATACGAGGTAGATGCAGCAGTGTTCGATTGAAGTTGGTACGACTAGGAAAGCATAAATATAGAAAACTGACAGAGAACGTCTATTAAAATTGAATTTCCTCATACTTTTTCAGTACTATTCTTTTATTAATTCGTATTTTCGTATCCTAGGACAAGAGTATCATGGAACAACATCCTCAAATAGACGATATTAAATACAATCACCTAATGACTTTTTCAAATTCTATACAATAGTTTATACAAATATTTTTTTTAATCCATATCAAAATTTGTACAAGAATGTTTTCTTAAATCCTATTGCCATTTTTTTTCACTATGACCGTGTATATTCTTTTAAAACACAATTATTTTTCTTTGCAACCTTTTTTTGTGTATTAACTGTTTCGTCTTTCACAAATCGTTTCCAACGCTCTATACGTTTCAAATGGATTTAACAAAATTCTAGTTAATGTTTTTTATTTTCGAAAAGCTAAACTATTTCCAGTAAACGCTTAATACATATGAACTGAAATATGTATATTCAATTTTGAAACGTTCAAATTGTAGCAGATTTTAAGAGTATTCTTTACTTATAACTTAAAACGGAAATTAAGTTTCACTAAATCTAAAACTGAAGTAATACTTGGAATATTAAATTCATCTTTATATCTCTAATCCGTTACCAAGATATAAAATTGATAATGGAACAGAATCTTATAGTAAAAATATTCTTCTCTTTGGTGAAAACAGAGTATTTTTCAAGTATAAATTATGATAAACTATGTCTTACAACCAATATTGAACAAAGAGTCGAAATAACTTTCAGGGACACGACCTTCAGTAATGAAGAAGTTGACAAAGTATAAGAAGAACAACTAATAGAGATACACGTAGTAGTAGAGAATAATAACAATCATGAGACATTTATTCATTTATACAGTTGTTAGTTTTATTATAATTCTTATGCCATTTATAATTCTCAGGCTCTCAATTATGACGCTTAATTCTAAATATGTATTTAGAATTAATATTAAAAAAGAAGAGAAAAAATAGTTTTTTTTAACATATGGATGTACAGAAACAAGGTTAATCTATTAAATTACATTTTCGAGATCTCATTCATGCTAGTAATGTTGTTTTTATAAATTTTATATTTCAATACGTATTTCTTATTCATTTCATATTAAATGCAAGCTTAGCAATACCTTTGACCCACAGAAATGAATCCATACATTAATTTTCTAAGAAGAATTTAATGTTTTAAGCTTCCAATAAAATAAAGGAAATCCATATACATAAGTATGTATGTATTACATATTCACATAAAATACACAAGCAGACCCGGATATCGTTTTGTGCAAAGTAAAAATTAAGGGGTTTATGTATTTTTTAATGACATATAAAAATAAAATAAAAACAAAAGATTTCGTCCAAAAATTAAAACAATAATTAGGGGTGAACAACTCTTATCACTTAGGGGTATGAAAATAAATAGTAGCCGATTCTCAGACTAACTGAATACGCATATAAAATTTGCTAAGAATCGGTAAAACCCTTTCGCAGGAGTATTGTGACATAGAAATTTTATATATTGGATATAAGTAAATTCTCACACATTTAAAAGAATTCACAATAGTTGGAATAAAGTTAAAAAATAATATTTTATTTCAAACTGTCCTCGATTTATTCTCTAACACATTTATCGGCACTGCAGTGTACATTTCCGTATTGTAGGAGCTAGAAGTTTGAGGCGAGCGACAAAGTTGTTACCGAGTTCCGAAAACACTTTTATCTTGAAACTTTATTCTTTTGAGTCAGATAAAGTTGTTCCCTGAGTGAAACTAAATAAATATTCCCGTCATGTCCGGGTTGTGTCATTCAAAATTACTTTGATACAAGAACAAGTAATGGGAAGATGTACGTTATACATTATATATAATAAGAACTACATATGTATGTGAAAGAGTAGATGCTTATAATGTATTTAAGAAATTATATAATTTGACGGTGATTTAAATAAAAATGTGACGATAAAGAAAAAAAGGAACTGAAACAAAAACTAAATCAATTGGGTCTAATAAATATTTTTATACTTGTAGTTTGTTCTATATATTCCTAAATATTTTCTTTAAATCTATATACATACTGTGGTAGTAAGCTTAAATAAAATTGATTAAGGCTTAGGTTTGGAAATAGTAAATAAATATCACTCACCATAATCTGGTCTGTCGGAGGAGCCATCGTTAATCCGAGACTCAGGATAAGATAAGGGATTCCTGGGAACAAATGCAGGATTAACACAACTATGTAATTTATCTCTTTCGATATTACTGCCAGGATTTACTTTGATCGGAATTACAAACGTTTCTTTCATAAAACAAAATAAATTTTCGTTTATATATCTGAATTCATGTTTTCAATGAAGAAAGGAACAATTATATTTTAATTACAAACAAGCTTTAAATACAAATTACCAACTTTATTTCACTTTTTAATGTCCAGGACCGCAATAAAACAACCCCAAATGTTACTTTGATACAGCTGAGTCGTAAAATGTGAAAATTGTGACACACTGTGCCAAATTACACGTTTTAATTCCAGTATCGAAAGCGATGGTCCTAAAAAACTTAATAATCCAATATTTCGATATTTTCGATGCTTTTAATTCGTATAATTTATTTGATTGCGTCGCCAAATCTATATATACGAGCACGATTCAAATCTATTGACAATAAAAACGTTCGAATGAAATTGTTCGAAAAATTTAACAAAATTCGGCGATAGTAAAAAAAAAAACAATAAATGCCCATAATGTACTAGCGGCCTTACAAACTTCTCGCTGACATAAAAGTTTAAAGCCAATAAAAATACGAGCTCCCAGTGAAACAGCTGATAAGCGCTTTTTTATTTCATTCACCATTTCAGAGTCACGTTTAAGTTGATTGTCTCTTCTTGACTATTGTTAAAAAATAAAATGACTCTGTCCTTTGTCAATATACAGATATTTTGTATTCCATTTCTCTCTAAAAGAATTTATAAAAAATTTAAACTATACGACTTACAGTATAAAGAATTATGCTTACCTCTGTGTTTTAAATTGTGTTGAGATAGTTTTTGTGCTTTCCTCCTTATCGTAATAGGTAATTGTGACAGCGGTTACTGAAAAAAAATAGATTCTTTTAGTTTGTTTAGTAATTCACATAATTTAAAAATTATATATACACTTTTTAAGTTACTTTTCAATCAATTCATTACTTTATTTTACTGAACATAGTATTTTTTGCTTGAATAACATATAAATACTTTACATGAAATTAGTAAATTTTTATTTAATATAACAGAATTTTATACTTCTAAAAATATTTTTAAAAGTTTTTATGATAGAACCGATGGATGGAACATAATAGTTATTACATTTCTACTAATAAATGTGCGGTTGGCAAAAGGTCAAATTAACTTAAAAGATAATTATAGTCCTCTGAAACAAATTTATGGGACGAAAACAATTATTCCGAGACGAACCCTTTATTAATAGGATAATTTAAATTAAATTCCTATATTGTATTGACATAATTATGGGTAGTATAAAAACAGCATTGTAATGAAAATCATGATAATTGTAGCTATGTATCCATTGTATTTAACGCCGTGGTACTCAAAGGGGGGTAGGAGATGGGTTGAATGTAAAAGAAGTACTCACTTAACACACGTTGATGGTTGGAGGGGCATTTTTAAACATTTTAGTACTGCACTTCAAATCATTTGACATCAAAGGACAGACAGCGTAAACGTCTTTCGCTTAGTTACAGACGATTTAACTCAGAGAACGCGAGGGTTGAAAAGTATAGGCCAGTTCTCACCCTCGCTAAATGTATTCTTTATTCTATTTTAAATAATACGATAAAATTAAGTCGCTACTTTCTAAAGTCGGCATTAAATATCGATGGTCAAAAGTACATATGAATTATTCTGTAAAAATTTATGAGAACATTTATTTTACGAGTTCTACTAAGTTTATATTTTAGTGACTCGATATAAATCTGGATTAGGTTTATTACAACAAAGTTACATATGAAACTATATATATGCTGCCCTTAAAAATCTAATATCTAGAAAACCATATCAAAGATAAATAATTGTAACTAAAGATGTCTAAAATATTCTACAATTATCGTACAAATAAAATGATAGGTACATGATCTGCATTAAAAACACCGTAGTTAATTTTACCAACACTACATTTATAGCAATACTAATGGGCATTCAAATAAAATACTATAATAAAGATAAAATAAATATTTAACACATACAAATGCCGTTCATAAAACACACAGCAATGGTGAAGTACCGATTTGTAAATAGAGTGACCAGTATCATTGCATTTGCCTGAGTGAAGTACATATATAACTAATGTTAAGTTCTTATGAATTGGAAATGCACATCATTAATAATTAAAATTGATCTCGACTCTTAATATAGGCAATGCTGTAAAAAAACCGCATGCATCGCACCGCATCAATCTATTAAATAAGGCTTTGCATTAAAAATACCGTGCTTTACTTTCATATTTTATTCATAACTGGCTACATTCAAATTTCAACCCTATTTATAAATTAAAAGGTTTCTTTTGCGTTTTAATAATTTTGCGTGAGAGATTTATTATTGATCAATTAATTAAACCACTCCAAGTGGGTAGAAATTGAAATGTGGAACTAATTAGTCGTTAATTCTGGCAAAATATATGAGTGAAGAGTCTAACATCATTCCTATTTAGACCCAACGGACCCTAAACTTACCCTTAAACGTTACCTATCATTAGGCATTCCCAATTCGTATTCAATAGTTCAATATATTGAAAAAAATTGTATAGTTATAAATTATAATAAAACATGGAAATTTTTATTCAAGACGTAAAACTTAAAAAGGCATCATTCCGAATTGAAATTGAAGAACTTCCTCAAAAATAAAATTGTTATCGTCGGAAGCGGAGCTTGCTAAATATTCGTGTATTAAATTCATAATTTTCTCTCTTAAAGGATTTAGAATTTAAGTCCTAAATCTCTGAGCGAGCCGCTTACAAATGTTGAAATAATTATGAAAATATTTGTAGACGACGATTTTTATTTATAAGAATGCTGCTTATAATGAGAGTAGATTTCTATTGCATGAAATGAGATTTAATTAAAAAATAATGTACATTTTAAGTAGCTTATAAAAATATTAATTGCTAATGTTATAAGAAAAAGTTATACGTGTATTACTTTGTTTTGGAAACCTACAAAAGAATGAAATCGATGTCGGTAAAATCATGGTTTTAATTTTTGCTAAAAAAAACTTTTTATCCACAAAATTATAAATTTAAAATTAAAGCAAAATTTTTAAAACTAACTAATTTTACGTGAAGAATAAGTATCGGCTCCAACTTTATGAATATATTATCTAAAGTTCTTGAATGTGACTTAGAACTTTGTTTTAAATATAATTTATTATTACATCTACTTTATATATATTTTTATATATAATTTTCTCAATACATTTATTTTTATGTCACTTAAAGGCAAACAATTTAACGAATCAAGAACATCATTACGATAATAATTGACAACCTTCAATGGTTTGTAAGGGACGTCCTAATTGCAATTTGATATCCAAAATGGTCGTGATCGCAATATTCGGCGCTAACGACTTTGTCGTTAGTAACAATTATATGAAGGCTTCAGTGGCTTGTGAAATATGGTTTATTTATTGGTCTGGTATTAAGGTAATTATGTGACTGTAATGTATAGACAAACGATAATATGGATTCGACATATTTCGTTTCATTTAGTCTATTAACTGAATTATTTTTAATGCGTTAAATCTTCTTATATTTACTAAATGTAAATTTCAAAATATCCCGGCGTGTATAGAATTAAATCCAACGACCTGCATGCGACTTCCACGATCAAATTAATTACGATATTCATGAACTACTGAATTTTGGATGTTTAAATATTTATATATATTTTGGTCTTAACTTTTAATACTTCTAGAATATTCTACTGATATTACAGTTTACAAGAATATTTCTTATTCAGTTTAACAGAATTCTGTATTAATACGTATATGTATATATCTCTACATTTAAATATCTTGACTTTCATAACATTTTTGTATAAGAAATAACTATACAAATCTTAATCTATGTTTATATTCAAAATTATACCGCATCCAAATCTTCATACATCCCCACATCTTAACATCGACCCAGATTGCGGAGGCAACTCCCACACCTAGTTAATTCCAGACCCACAGTTGTAGAATATGTTGTTATAAATTTTCAGCCTAAACAATTTTCTAAATTGCTATCATTGTGATGTAAAATTGCTATGAAAGCGAATGTGTATGATACGTCCTAATTATTTAATTGCGGCAGAATTTGAGTCTGAAATTTTATTGAATAATATGCAAATTACATTAACAGATTTTAGTATTCTTATGATTGTTTTCGATATTTATATACTAAACAAAAATCATTAATTTGCATATTCTTTGGATCTTTTAATATATTTATAATCCAAATTATAACAAATTAATAATCACAAAGTATCAAAGACACAATGAATTATATATTTTTAAAGGACACAAATTTACGATTTGTAAAACGAAAATGAAAACATGCCCTAAATAAGTAAGTTTATTTCAAACTAGCTTTCCGCCCGCAGCTTCACCCGCGTGGAGTTCGGTTATATCGCGTTTCCAAAAAAAACCTTTCAAAATTCTGGGATAAAAACTATCCTATTATCTTTTTCAAAGTCAGCTCTATCTTTATACCAAATTTCATTAAAATCAATTCAGTGGTTTAGGCGTGAAAGCGTAACAGACAGACAGACAGAGTTACTTTCGCATTTATAATATTAGTAGGGATAATAATACTTACATATTCCCAAACGAACAGAATAATTTTTAATGATTGTATAAATAGGTTAAGTAATTTCTAATCCATTTGAAACAAACATAACTAGCGTATAACTTTTAATGGAGTAAAGAGCTAGTTAAATTAGAATCATGCGCTAATTACTTCCTCGTTGAGGAAATATACGTTAGTTAGGACTGCTAGAATTATCCATACAGTGATACTAACTAATTAACTAATAGAAACTATAGTTATTTTATGCTTAGCATAATCTGTTTACGAGATTTACAAAGTTTATGAAAATATCCTCAGATTTTAACTATCCAAATGAAATAAATATCTCTTTTTTGTTATAATTATTTATAAGCATTTAATAGTTCATTAACTATTTTGTATTTATGATTTGTAAACGTTATATGAATTACGACATTATAGTGAGTTTTTGCTCGAAATGTTAAAAAAAGGAGTTTAAAATTGAAGTTATAGTTATAGGTAAGTTAATAAAAACTGAAAATAACTCAAATAATATTAACTGAATAATCAATTGATAAGTAATTTTCATAAATGCGAACTCATAGAAGATAACTGATATAGATTTCCATCGAATGAAACAGTAATGTTTAATGGTAATAAATGAATACCCAGAAATAGAATTCTTTCTTATAATGTAGAACTCCAAAACAAATAATAATGTACATTTATCTTCTTCTACATGGCAATTTCCCAGCTTTAGCCAGGATCTGCTTTACATGTTGTGAATAGTTTTGGCTAATTGTTTTTACGACCGGCCGCCTGCCTGACATCAACCCTCTTTGGGAATGCATTAATCAGCGACGTCTAAATACTCTCAGAAAGTATATATGACTCGGAAAAATCACATTGGTACTTTCCAGGATCGAACCCGCGCCTTCGTGCATGACAGGCGAGCCTTTTAACCACTAGGCCACCATTGACTTTTTAATAATGTACATTTATCCGGATTGATAAATCATAATCATTTAAACCATTACATATCACAAAGTACTTATCTTAATCAACGTAGTTTAGCTAATGTAAGTTTTATTCTATATTAGTAATAGTCTTCTTCATAGAAACACTGATTCTAATGTATGAATTGTTCAATAATTTTCATAACTGCAAAGTCTTTTTCACTAAATAAAGTTAAAGAAACATTTATTTATCAAACCGCAACCATTTATATTCCATTAAAGTTGCAGTGTTCAATGATTCATGGAATTTATTGAAACGGTTAAAACTTAACTTGAAAAAAAAAATCTGTCGTTTTCGACGTGGATTCGTTTTCTGTATATTTCTCTGACAATATATTCTGAGCGCGAATTCAATTTACACTGAAACCAATTGAAACTTGGTCCCTACTCAGTAAAAAAAGGACGTAATATGTATAAGTTACACTAAGTTTTATGTATAATATTTTTCATATATTTATTTCAATATTAAATTTCCGTTTTTATACAAGGGCAGTATTATTTTCGTACTTTATTGTGGCTTACTACGTTATTTCTAATGTCTTTGTCTCTTGTAGTTCAAGTCAAACATTTTATTTGGATTTGATTCCATCGTATCCAGAGATAGAACTTCATTCTAAAAACTTAATCGTAAAAGCAAATACTACATGGAAATATGCACGTAGAGTACTTATTTAGATATGTTAAAACACAGCCACTTTTATTTACAATTCCCGTTTTTATTTAAAATGTAATAAAAATATTAAATCAATCTTTAGTCAGTTCCGAAATATGGAGGTTGCATTCATTAATAAACCACTTACTTTTCCGGTAATTTAATTATGAAATTTGGTTGAATAAATATGAAT